ATCTGTGACACCAATCAGCAAACACTTCTGTCTCATCTATGGAAGTTAATTCCTGCCCATATGACGGAAAATAAAGGATTCTGTGAGAATATTGATTTAGTATCTCAAAATAATGAGAAAATTTCCCTTTAAATTGACTTACAAAATCTTTTTTTGTCACATTAGCAGAAATTAGGTTCCATACTCATCCGACGTCCTCTGATGTTGTGTACCCAACAGAAACTCATTACTGCCGACTTTTTAAAAGAAGTGAAGCGAGTGCTCTCAGGTCTCTGCTCCTCGTGATGAATGGCTCTTTGTAAACACACTGTAAGTTTAAAGAATAAATTCCCTGATTCTCTCCGGACCGTCGCTCACACTGGATGTGTATCCCTGTCACGGCTCTCGGCCTGGGACTGTCGGATACAACAAAGCCGCTCAACTGAACAAGAAAACAAATTAATTTCTGTCACAGTAGCCGAGCTGAAAACTTCCCAAACTTTCAGCACAACTTTTTTCCTCTGGCAGGTGGACGAGCGCACGTTACTTCTGTTTGTGTCAGGTCGTGATAGTGTATTTTGTTGAAAGAGCAGGCTTTATTTTATTCATAATGTCTGACCAGGAGTCTCTTTTGTCCTCAGCCTGCCATCACAACAAGTCAGACTTCAAGAAAATGTCACAAGACAAAGGACGTTTGATTCCCGTTGGAGCGCCGCTCTCACTGGCTGTTTATTGCTCACGTTTTATCGCGAAACGGAACTGAACTAAAGGATTTGTACAAAGATCACCGGCTGCCGAACCACAGATTGTTGATGAGATATGCATTAACATTCACAAGACTTCGAGCTGGAGTCTTGTTGTCCAGAGATGACATTTCACTTGACATTTGTCGGGCTGGACCGGATTAAGGAACCGAACGCCATCGCGCACTGCTGCCGTCAGATGTCCCTAGCTCTCCTCAGATAAACAACTGTGTAATTTATGTAATAATATTAGCAGTATGAATCCAACTAAAAGCTCCCTGCACCAAACTCCCTTTAAGAAATCTCCACACTACAGAAACACTAGCTAACTGCTAAAGTCTGATAAGGCTGTCTGACGTTGACTGCTGGTAGTTATTAGTTTGATTGATGCTTTAATAATTGATGCTGATCAGGCTCATTATCAGCTTATTGTCCACAGTTTAGTTTGCTGTAAATAGTCGCCCTTTGTGCCTGTTTTTAAAATACTTTCCTAATTAAACATGATGTGCTTGTTGACTATGAGTCCTGATGAAATGAAGAAGAGCTCCACAAACATTAAGTTTGACACATTATCCCCTCATTAAGTTGTTGTGTTAGCAAACACCCAGCAGACACACAGAAACGTGAGTCTTTGTCCACTATTTTCTCCGGTTTCATTCAGAGATAACAGAGAGTCACTGAAGTGTCATCTGTCACATTCAGTCGGCTGAGTCTGGTAAGCTAGTTGGTACAACAATGTTGTTATTCAAGGCCACGCCCCCCAAACACCTGTGCCAGTCTCTGACGCATTTTTAAACCAGAGTCTGCATAAAACACTCCCACTGTGAGCCAAGCGAAGCCGCTAACCGCTACCTCTAACCCTAGAACTGGGGAACATGGGAATTATAGCAGCCCATTACTACACGTACCTCCAGATGGACTGTTTAGTGTCCTGAGCTGTCATGTTCAATCCTTTTTTACTCTTTTCGGCTTTGTGCTTCTTCGACAAAGTAAACTTTCTTCAGCCATCTGTTCAGTTCTCAGTCCGAACCTCAGCAAGCTGAGCGGGTTGCAGCAGCAGTGATATGCAGAGATATTCTGAGCTGCTGGAGGAGCTGATCCCAGCGGAGTCCCAGCAGGAGTCCAGGAGTGGACGAGGTCTGAACGAGGAACATTGCTAATTTATGAATAAGAATATATAGATTCTCTGTACAGTCTCCTTTTAGATAAAGCCGGATAGAGTAAAGCTGGTGATATTCAATATGTATCTATATTAATTTTAGAGTGGGTTATTGTAGAGTGGATAGAGCTTGTGTTATTTATCACACCGTGTTCCTTACAAATGAGACGGAAAAAATCTGATAAAATAGTAGAAAAAGACAAAGTAACAAAAAAGATTGAACCTATGATCTTGGAGCTGAGAGGAAGTTAGACACTATCGATAGACTAACTGAAAGTCTTCAGTTGTACATTTTGCTTTTCTACTTCGTAATTTACTGTTTTTCATCCTCTGTCAAGTACACATTGTTTTATAAGAAGATATAAAGATACAGATGGAACATAAAGCCGGGTTGAGATGTTCATATATTCAGCATTTTCATTGTTGTTGTTGATTGACAGGTGTGTGACAGGTGTGTGTGGGTTGTTGCTGCGATAAAGATCAATCTGACATTTAACACCAGAAGTGTGTTAAGAATACCTGCTGTTCAGTGCAGAGATCAGACTGTAAAAAATAAAACAAAATCAAGAAATGAAGCCAGAAACAAGTAAGAGATGTGGTTTGTTCTGCTCATACCGTTAGCTTGTTAAATCATGCAGCTAATGTAGCCAAACCTGCAGGCATTGTGCTTAAATATAACAGAAACAGGCAGAGGTCAGTCAAAGCTTCATGGTAAAAATACAGTATGTCTCTACATATTTCCCTGCAGAGATACAGTATTTATTTTAATGACAGATTCTCACTTTACAATGCAGTTTCAATATACATAATAATACAATTTGACTCTCAGAAACGGGGCGGAGGTCAGTCAAAAAACTTGCTTCGTGGTAAAATAATTCCCCTACATATAAGATGGGCTTTTAAGGGCATTCAAACACATTATTACACTTACATAAGTGTGTTATGTAAAGAGTGTAATTACAGCGCTGACAGCATGTGGCAGAGTGCCTCTCCAGAAATGTACTAAAAGCAAACTGTGGCATTAAAGCAGAGAATCATCACGTTTTGAAATGCGGATCCAACAGTGTGTGTGAACCTGAACGTGACACAGATACTAATAAAACACACACACTCATAGTGACAGAAGGCAGCAGTCTTTATGCTCTCCCACCTCTCCTTACACTTCATTACCACAGTCCTGAAAATAATGTTTTGACACTGAATGCAAATCACCTCCTCTCCTTCCCCGTAATCAAAGTCTTTCCCGCAGGACTCTCAGCCTTCGCTGTCAAACGAGGCAGAGCCGAGTCAGAGATACCCGCTGAGTACGACCCTGAACCTCTGCATGTGGCAGCGTTGTGAGACTTTATTGTTGCTTGGCATTTGCACTCTGGCTTTGATCACAAAGGAAGGCTGTACAGGAGCTGTGAGGCAGTCCAGGGTCATTTCATTACACTCCTCTGCTTCCCAGAGCAACAAATTCATTCTGTTTCTTCTTCAGAAAAATTAATATAATTTACTGTAGTAAAAGTGTCAATACATTAATGTAAAAAAAACTGTACTGCAAGTACAAGTCCTACAAGTACGGATTAAATTAAAAATTACCATTTAACCCTTAAAGATATTGTGCTCCTATTTACAATTTATGCCAAAAATGTAAATATAAAAATCTATTTCTTTGTATTTTTTTTCTTTCTGTAAAACAAAATGTGCAATATCATGACATCCACCCATAAATCAACTTTTAGTGAGAGAGCGAAGATTCGTTACTTAGCTAGCTAGCTAGCAGCCTGACTGATTACTCTACAAAAACGGCTACTGGATGACCAAATGAACTTTTAATTGACAGTAACGTGTCTACTATTTGGGTGTAATTTTCTAAGAATGTACTGTGGCTCATCAATGCACACCAGAGCGCTAACTAAGTCAACAAATCTGTAGTCTCTGTAATTTGATTTGATTCTCAAATACAGGGCAGAGGTCAGTCAAAAAACTCATGATAAAAACATTTCCCTACAGAGATAGTTCAGGATATTGCTCTGCTGACAGATTACTCCCCATCAGTCACTGAAGGACTCAAACAACAAGAAATGTAAAATGTCAAATACAGGAGGGAAGTTATTGGCATTTTCCCCTTTAAGAAACACAATTAGTCTTCAGACTCTTGAACAACAGAGTCGTGGTTGAAATTTTGATGAGTCAGGTTTGACTGCGCGTGTGAGGAGACTATAAAACACAACGTAGGTCGACTGTAAACCTGCTCCTCATCCGTCGGGCACTCGGTGGTTCTAGTGTGGAGGCCGTTGACACATTTAAATAACTTCAGGTACTACGTGTTTTATTAATGCACGCTGTGGCTGCTGAATTCAAAGCTTCTGATTCTGATAATGAAGACATGGATCAGTCTCATCTGATGTTTATTCAGCAGCTCCAACTGTCACTTTATTCCTCTCAGGATCTTTAAGACCAACAGTGCCCCCAACAGGTGAAGCATGACGTTACAACGTCAGAGCAGAGCTGTGAATCCTCGTTTACCGTCCGTGGAGACGAAACATGAAGGTAATAACCCGTTATAATTATATACCGCAGGTCCTTCGATCAACGGCAGATCAGAACATAATGTATCACTATTTATCTCACATTATAAACCCTATTTATATTCATATTATATTCTATACTATATATTACTATATCTTTATATAGAGTATATATCTTTATATCTTATGCACTATGGACATATGTCTGTATATGATGATCTCTTTCAAAGTGTGTAGCATAAAAGGCCATATTTTCATTTCATTATACAACCTTGTGATGCATTTCTTTGATAAAGTAAAGCTTTTATTTGTATTTTTATTTGTTTTATAGTTTGGTTTTTACCTCTATTTTTTAGTTTTAAGCTGCGTCAACTGTTTGTTTCCCCGGTGTGGGATCAATAAAGTTTTTCATTGTAAGAATTTGATCCATTCAGACCGGTAACATTTGGAGAGCCACACAATAAAACCATTTTATCCCCATTCACGTTAGTGGAAAGCTAAACCGCAAGTTAGCTGGTTTAGAAGTCTTTAATGCTCGTTAACAATAACTGTAAAATAATGATTAAAAACAAGAAATTTCAACAACAAACACGACCCAACAGCTTCTGGTTCTGTAGGTTTTAATATCTGTTTCTTTTTAAAACAATCACGTGTAAAATATTCATATTTTCACATATAATCTGAGCGATTCGAAGGATGAGTGCATTAACAAAAGGACAGACTTTTAAAAACAGTCCACACAGGAGAGGATGAAAACGCTGGCCCTCGTCTTCCTCGCCTGCCTCCAGCAGGGAACCATCACAAAGTCAACACACACACGTCTGTGGCTTTATTCCAGCGTCCATCCTGGTTCTTATTCACCTCCCAGCATCCAAGCTCCTCACTGGAGGCTCTCCAGAAAATCCTCCAAACACCCGGGAACTCCCCCGAGCCGACACAAGCCTCTGCCTTCAGACAGACCCTCTGAATAATACCCTGAGGCACTGTAGAGACGCACACTCTCACTCACACACACACACACACACACACTGTCACACACATACACACTGCGGCTGCACGGCGGTCGCTTCGGGTAGGCGGAGCTTCCTGCGTCAGTCGTCGGGTTCAGTGACGCACTGCTCCACGATCTCCCTCAGGTTTGGGTTCTCCATGGCGGCCGCCACTCGCTCCTTATCGTTGATCTGCTTGTTAACTGGAGACAGGATTACAATGAGACCACACACACACACACACACACACACTGTACAGCAGCTTCACTGCGTCCGTCAACATGCACATTTTGTAATATCGTATTAAAACACTGACTGTCGCGCAACTCTGACATGAAAGTAAGGGTTGGTTGTAAAAATCTAAAATTCACTTGCGATCAGTCTCAACCTTTAGACTGTTAGAAAAGCCTTTGTATGTACAACAGTTTAAAACAGCACTATACTACAGTAGTTAGCTGGTTAGTTAGCTGGTTAGTTAGCTAGTGTTTTGATCTAAAGAAAAGCTAAATAGTTAGCTCCTCTACATTAATCGTTAGCTAGCTCTTTACATCTGATAGTTGAGTAGTTTTAATGTTCGCAAAATGGAAGTTGTCCCAAAAGGGGGCGGGGCTTAGGGAGGGTCATTTGTGCCGCCACTAAAATTCACTTTGTGTTCAGTCTCAACCTTTAAAAAATACTTTATTATTGATCAGTTCAGTCAAAATTAATCTATTAACGACTATACAGTAAAACAAGTTCATTTTGTTTCTGCCTACATTCACAAAACAGTTGATTTAGTTTAACATTTAGTTTCTTAAAGGAGTGTTTAGGCTGTAGTTGTTTGATTACAACCCCTTGCCTCACCCTCCCTTTAAAAAAGGTCTCACTCTAAGATAACGAGAAGACAATAATTCTTATTATCAGGTGATTAAACACTAATGCAAACATATTCCTGACAGTAGATCCTCCTTAATGTTTTACTACATCAAACACTTCAGCTCACTGACCCGTAAACACTAATGTTTTCCATATTTCTCGCTGCCAGTGTGCACAACGTCCCACGACTCAGAGAATTAGCTCAGAGGGAGGTCGCTCAAATCTAAAGAAACCATTTGCTCCCTAAACATAAAAGAATAAAGAAAAGACACTTACTATCCTCCTCCGTGGAATGGGTTCCCTCTGAAATGTAAATTTCCAACTGAGAAGAGAAAGAAAATACAGCTGTTTGTTTATTGCGTTATTTATCCAGCTATTATTCAAGAAATTCAATTAAGAACAAAGTAAAGAGTTTTTTAAATGTTAGCTGGGCTTTTAAAAGGAAGATTAAAAATGGAAGGAAAGATCAACAGAGAGACTGGACCCTCACAGCTCAGAGAACAAATGTAATTATTAAAATACAGCGGAGGGAAAACAATAATAATCTATAATAAATATTTCACAATACAGAAGCTACACTGGGGTTGTCTCTGCTAAGAAGGGAAACTTTAAAGGTTATATATGAGATTTAAAACACCAGCTGTTCTCTATATGAACATATATAGTCACATGTTTCTGTCCACTGAATGAAGTTATGATCAGTGAACGGGTTGTAGTGTAGCTTTGTTCCTCTGCTGCCTGTGGACTGATTTCTATGTGTTTCTATGTAGGGATGAGGGTCAAAGGTCGTGACC